AAAAAAAAAAAAAAAAAAAAAAAAAAAAAAAAACACGATTCCTGCGAGTTTCCCTTGGGCCCACGCCTTGTTCCTAGACGTTTTCCCAACACAGGGAGCTCAGGCTCGCGAGAGCGTCACGCGAGACCCGCTGTTCCCTTTATATATAGGAAAAAAAACAAAAAAAAAGAAGCTTGATGCTGGTGAAGAAGAGTGATCATCACTCGGTCCTGAATGGGACAGAAATAGCACAACATTAGAGCCAGTTCCCACCGGCGCTATGCTAGATGCTACAGAAACTGGGGCGATAAGAGGCCATGCTCGTGCAAGGTTCAGTCAAACTTAGGACGAAGTGGGGCTGACCTGGAAATAAATGGTAAGACAAAGTGGAAGTCAGCTCTTCATCTGCCGTTGACGCCTGACGTCAGCAAAGGTATACACAACGTGATTGAGACGCCCAGTGTCCACACCAGAGAATGCTGTCGCTTGGCTTGCAAGCGCTCAGCAAAATATTTTCTGCCCGTCTTTTCCGCCACCTCCTTGCCGCATAGATGACTCGGTGCTTAACGAGTCGTCGCTTCTGGTGATGGTACATATCCATCGGGCACCATATCCATCAGCACATGCATGCGTCAACATCGTTCGAAGATCTTATACAGTTTCTCCAGGCACGCGACCTGCACACAGTGTAACAAAGAACACAATTCCGTACAATATGAGATGAAGTGCGGCGTCCACACTGTGCTAACCTGAGAAAAGTGATCTGTCCTCCTACAATATAGGCCTTGAATTTGAACACCTGATCATCAGATCAATAGATTCAATACCGCTACCGTTTGAGGAAAAAGAAGCTACAGCTGATTGTTATTTTCTTATTACATGCCTCATGATGGACATTCTTATGAAGTTATGAATCTTATGTAAAGCATTAGAAATCGACTGTTAAAATTGGAACGATACAGAGACGAACAGCATGGCCCCCCGTGCAAGGATGACGCGCACAACTAGAGAAATAGTCTAAATTAAAGAAGAAAAAAAGGTGTCCTTTTTTTCCGTTAAAATTGGAACGATACAGAGAAGGGTAAATTAGCAAATGGCCCCTGCGCAAGGATGACACGCATAAATCAAAAAATGGTCCAAATGGCAAATTTCCGGAAAAAAAGGACATCAGTTTGAATCACCCCCGGTACCGTCCTACCAGGAATGTGCAGCCCGTGCTGACCGAATGATTGAGGGGGGTCCCATCTTCCCCCGAATAGTGGGTAACATTCAGTCTAGATACAGCAACAATGACCATAATTTTTAATGATAATTATTCTTATTCGGGGGAAGACAATAGTCATCTGGAGAGGCGACAACACCTGTCTCACCTTGAAAAGGGGCAATCGTAGCCAGTAGAAACACGACACATAAAATTTCTCAACTTTTTTGAAAGCCACGGAGAACCTACACTGAAGGTGTGTTCGGGTTCTGACAGTCTGATCAGAGTCTCATGTAGAAGATCAACCATCCACCTCCCCCCTACCCCGCCTTCCCTCCCACCTCTCTGCTGGCAAATAGCATTTGGTGAGAGTACCAGTGCATCAGTCTGATCAGAGTCTCATGGAGAAGATCAACCATCCACCTCCCCCCCCTCCCTGTCTCCGCTGGCAAACAGCATTTGCTGAGAGTACCAGCGGACACTTGCAAACTGTATAGCTGACTGCACTGATCAATGATCATGTACTGTATAGCTGACTGTATATGTGGTAAATGCAAAGCTGAGCATCACAGTAAACACTCGCGAATTAACTCACGAGTCACAACATTATGATGTTTCCAGAAACACCACAGAATTGTTGTTTCTCTGGGAACCCACCCCTACAGCAGAGGCTAATCCTCGACCTTGGGCAGTTCTACCGAGGCTAATGCCACTCACCTGTTTCCATCCCATAATCGGCCAAAAAAAAAAAAGTTAAAAAAACCACTTATGCTCACAGCGGATCGCATTCAAGAAGCACTGTAATTCACTCAAAGACCCGAAAGTCAACACGCTTGCCCGCTTGCCCGCTTGCACGCGCACACACACACACACACACACACACAGAGAGAGAGAGAGAGAGAGAGAGAGAGAGAGAGAGAGAGAGAGAGAGAGAGAGAGAGANAGAGAGAGAGAGAGAGAGAGAGAGAGAGAGAGAGAGAGAGAGAGAGAGAGAGAGAGAGAGAGAGAGAGAGAGATTCTAAAACTGACCTGTACAAATGTTCCATCTTGTGCCATTTGAGCAGGTGGCTTCAGAAACAGGCGAATTGAAGGAAGCCACAGGTGTTGAATCATCCAATCTCGTGTAGCGGTGGATTCCAGTGTGTCACTTCCAGCACGCAGACGACCCTCTTTCCCATCACATTCTTCCTCCCTTTTTTCCAACCCTTTTTCTTCAACTGCCCCCTTCTCCTCAGGTTGCCTACAGCATGCACCATTGTTGGGACCAGTGTTGTTGTCCTCCTCATCACCACTATGATCAGCCCTCTCTCCCTGAACTCCGATTTCCTGTTCTGTCTTACAACCGTCGTCTTGATCATCCTCGCCGAGGACCCGTTGCCTCTTTTGCCGAGTGTGTGGCGATTGAGCAGCTTCAGCCGTCCTGTCTTCCATTGGGGAGTCTTGCCTCGCAAATGGGTGACAACAATAGAAATCTGCCAAGGCTGCCGCAAAGGTCTCAAAACACTCTTTCTCCGAGTCCCAGTCGACCTGTCAGCCATACACATTATTGTTGTTGTCATCACAATTATCAGTCAACACACAGAAAGGAAGTCGAAGTCGAAAAGTATGAACGCCGTGAAAACTGTGACCGTGAAAAAGTGTTGTTGGCTATTCAACCCCCGTTTCCCACAGTCCCCTTTCCCACAAATTATTTGTGGCTGCATATCAGGAGACGTCAGTGGAAGTCATTTTATATCTCACTGGGCTGGTTCATACAGTACCCCTAAAACCTACCCCTAAAAGCAAGGACGCCACATTGGCTGTCCACACTTGCAGGAACCTGGTGGTTTATGAATCAATTATGACCTTCAAAATTGAACCTCCCTCCTTTTTTTCCTTTGTTTTTTAAACTTCTTTTTCTTTTAAAATTTAAAGAAAAAACTGGACCTTCTGGGCCCAGCTCTGGGAGCATCGGTCCACGTTTTCTTCGCAGCCAGTAGTGCGTTCGGCCATTTTCTCATTTTGGTTTTCTTCACAGTTCCTGTTTTCTTCCTTCTTTCGGCTTCCCCTTTTCGGTGCAAGGTTTGCCATGTTTGTGTTCGTTGAACACGAACCATCCTCTTTTTTTTTTTTTTTTTTTTTTTTCCGGTCTCCCATAACAGCACACTTGAGCGGTGTGAAGAAGAAAAAAGACCAAGGGAGGACAGCGTAGGTGAGGAAACAGAGCAAGTAGCGACAAAGGAAGAGTTAGGATTGTGGAATAGAGTTAAAACTTAAAACTTAAAACTTAAAACTTAAAACTTAAAACTTAAAAGAAGACTTAAAAGAGTAATGCAAGACAGAGGAAGAGGGTTAGGGATAACTCTGAACGTATGACCGAGAAGACAAACACGCATGGCCGGGACAAGATGGCTGCTGCCAGGGAGGACCAAAGATGGCAGCCAGAAGAGAGGTGAAAGTTGATTGCAGGAGTGAGGACCTTCTCTCCCTCTGGCGACGAGAGGAGAGCGAATTAGGGGATTGGCACCCCCCAACTGGCCTGACTCAGTTGGGTAGTACTTGGTACACCCCTGATCTGTTGAAATAAAGACCAGCTACGCTTAAAGGATTGGCACACCCCAAGTTTGAACTCTGCCGGATGCAGACGAGTAAAATACTACAATTATGAATTAACTAGGGCCGGTCAGTTCGATGACAATATCTCAAGGCTGATGCCCTTAAAAGTTAAAAGACGAAACTAATAACACAGCTAGGCTACCAGAGTGGCCCGGGACCACTTGAGCACGCCTGGGCCAAAACAAAAAAAACAAAAAAAACAAAAAAGGTGAAGAATTTCAATGCGACCCTGGGGCAAAAGTTGTTCAGCTTATTTTTTCTGCGTAACATAGTTTCCCAGCCATTTTTCTCCAATGCGGCTGCATGCACACGGGGGTCGGCTGCTGGACCAAAATGGCAGTTGGTGCCAACCAAAAGGAGGCCCTTGCTGCTTTGCTGTTTCCCTTTTTTTTTTTTTTCCAAAGAAGTAGCATGGCTTTATTATAGGAGCAAAAGGAGGCCGGGAATCCCTCTCCACATCTTAACCCGCAATGCTGGGGCCGATACCCAGCTTAGGCTCATACTGGAAAACGGGTCCAGTGTCCCATGCTTCGAAAACCCAACTCACAGCACCCAGATCGGGCGCAAGAACTGAAGAAAAAGGAGAGGGGGGGGATAATATGGGGCTTGAACCCCCGGTACATTTCCCAGCCATTTTTCTCCAACGCGACTGCATGCACGCGGGGATTGGCTGCTGGACCAAAATGGCAGTCGGTGCCAGCCAAAAGGAGGCCCTTGCTGTTTCCCTTTTTTTTTTGAAGAAAAGAAATAGCACGGCTTTATTATAGGAGCAAAGAAAGAGGCCGGGAATCCCTCCACATCTCAACCCGGAATGCTGGGGCCGACACCCAGCTTAGGCTCATGCTGGAAAATGGGTCCAGTGTCCCATGCTTCCGAGACCCAACTCACAGCACCCAGATCAGGCGCAAGAACTGAAGAACCGCTTTGTTTGGGATTTGCTAATCCCCTTTTGTTTTTGATGCACAGGGTGTTTCGATCCCTGGGAAAAAGCAGCTCGAAAGTACGGGTGGTTTAAACTCCCAAGGGGTGAACCTTGATTTGATTTCTTATTTTATCTGCACCCTTAAAACCAAAAAACAAAGGACCTGCTGCACAACTGCACGATGCTTGCACAACCTCGTGTACGGGCGCACACTGTGCAACCTCTCGTATGAGTGCGCACACTACACGAGCAGGGCACACACGTCACTATGCACCAACCTGTGCTGACGTACGAGGTGAGGTGCAGTGGTGTGCGGTGCACTGCCGGCCCGCACCACACATGTGCAGTTACAGGTATGCTACCAGCTGGTGTGAAATCCACGAGGCCGGCTCAGCCTCAATGCTCCCGGCCCTGAACCAAGCCAGATACTGCATCCATTTCATTCGCAGCCAACAGTCTACCCAGCTCAACAAAGTCATCGGAGGTACAAAAGCCAGATCCTGGTGGTGGACTGGGAACTGCAGCGAGACCGACCTCAGGCTCAATGCTGCCAACCTTGAACCAAGCTGTCTGTAGGTAAATGTACTCGAAGGCTCAGGAAGGAGTCCGCTATAATATAATGCGCCCGAAATCTAAGATCGATTTCGGACAAGTTGCTTATAGAGTTCAGATGGTTGCACTTCGTGCGATATACCGCATCCATTTCATTCACAGGCAATATGCAAAATCCGTCAAAAAAAATTATTTTCCCACCCCAAATTTTCTGAAATTTTCTGAAATTTCCGAATTTCAGAAATGTAAAGAGAGGGTCCTTCGGGACATCCGTTAAAATTGGAACGATACAGAGAAGATAGATTGGCATGGCCCCTGCGCAAGGATGACACGCATAAATCGAGAAATGGTCCAAATTTAATAAAAAAGAAAAAAAAAAAGAAATGTAAAGAGAGGAATTTTGAACAGTCCAACAGACACCAAATTTGGCACACATAAACCTTGTTGACCTAAAACAAAAAAAGTTAAAAAACAGGCAAGAAAACAAACAAAACAAAATTGACGGCCCAAAGCGCCCAAACCCTAAATTCAGTTTTGGGCCCATTGGGCAGGACCTGAAAATAGGCGGGGGGGTGTCCCTGTTAACCTTAAGTGCAGTTCGACTAAAGAGTCGTTGGAGGTACAAAAGCCTATTACCGGTGGATAGAGATTCGAGAACTGCATCATTTTCCCTCTTTTTGAGACAACCATACCATCACCCAGAAACATGAATCCAACTGAAGTGTGGGACTTTCCTTCCTTTTCATTTTCTCTCTCTCTCCTTTTCTTCCTCCTACTTCTTCAAGGTCACATTTGAAAACATAGGAAACTTTTTGGAATGGCAGAAATTTAACATCACAGAGGGGTGGCCCATTCGCCTCCCACACCTTACCATCTACCCGCCCCCTCGAAAACCCTCACAAAACACCATCACCAATCCCACTACTGTCAAACCCCACTAACCCACATTGAATACCATCTCCGGCGATTCTCCGCTACATTTAACAGTCAACCCCTGAGTCTATAATCCTTCCTCCTCATAAACCCTAACCCCAGCCACCCAGAAAACGCATCTATACCTATGGACAGCAACACTAAAACGTATAAAGGATAAAAGAGACCAAATCGGTTATCTCGAGATAGAAACCAAGGACAAAAGGAGTCATAGTATGAGAAGGGATTGGGTACTAGTCCTGAGAAGAAGAACAGAGACAGAACAGGATTTATCTAAAAGTACGTACAGAGCCAGAGCCTTAGGGTTTAGGAACAAGTAGGACTAGGCTTCAAGGGACAGTCGATAGCTTACAAATAGAAATCCTAGCAGACAAAGTAGGGCCAAACTCCAAATCCAAAGACAGATAGGATAACTTAGGCAGGGGTGAGGGTTGGTACATCCTTCCGAATGGCAGTAATCAATGCCGTCCACACGGGCCTCTCAACCATAATGAGGGCCAGTGTGCACAAGTAACTGCTGTAACTATTATCGACTTGCCGGTGGAATAGGAACCGGACTGATGCTCCGCAGAATGGAACGGAGCCAGAACCATACGGTTCTGTTTTTTCAAAAAAAAAAAAAAAAAAAAAAAAAAAAAAAAAAAAAAAAAAAATCACAGAGGGATGGCAGTCTTGTACTCCAGCATAGGTAGGTGCTTTAGAAAGGGGAGAGAAAAAGAAGAAGAAAAAAAGAAGATAGGTACAGAATCTACAGATACCTTCACACCGGTGCAACATTAAAAGTTTTAAATGAAATCACTGAAATTTCTGGTTTAAGTGGCATCTGCAAGTAGAGGATGCCCCATTCCGGGGAAGGACAAAGCATAGGACAGAGGTGTAGAAGAGATTTGGAGAGCAAGGTCTGCGGTTGGGCTCGTTGAGAAAAGCTCCGACATCAGGATAGGGATGCTGGAGATGAGACCTGAAAGCACCCTCATAAATAAACATAAAATGGGCTTTCTGGGAGGGCCAAAGAGGAGCAGCAGAAACAGCACTAAGAAGAAGAGCAGGAGCAGGGGGCGCAGAGGGAGCAGGAGCAGAGGGAGTAAGGCGAGCAGGAGCAGGGGGAGAGGGGGCAGGGGGAGCAGCAGGGTTTGGCATACAGAAGTAGACATGACTCACATTATTGCCCAATGCAAGAATGAACTGAGGGAGACGGTTGAGGTCTGGCGTATGCTGATCAAGAACAACGGGAAGACCATGCAGATATCCTTCGTCGTCAATGTCCATGCCAAAGTACTCTTGGAGCATCTCAGCTTTACACACCAGAAGATCCTCGTTCAACTGCAGCATAGAAGATGCCACCCACAGGATTACAACAAAAAAAAAGCAACAGAATACATTAAACTTGATTAAAGGTTTGAGTGATTATGTCACCAAAGACTCACTATAACCCACAGCCAGTAAGTAAGTCACATGCCAGAATGTCTGGGCAGCCAGCCAGTTGCGTCCCACCTACTTCAAAGTTCAAACCCTCTTTGGCTCACTTCTTGGGGCCATAGTGACATCTTCATTCTATTGAAGAGAATCTACCAAAGTGTGTGTGTGTGTGTGTGTGTGTGTGTGTGTGTGTGTGTGTGTGTGTGTGTGTGTGTGTGTGTGTACGTGTGCATTTTGTCATGTTCACTACAGACTACGACAAAAAAAAAAGAATGGTAGTAGTGCCAGACAGTTTTGTTGGACTTTCACCGACTCGTCAGGAGGTTGAACCCTCATAGCCAACCAAGGATGCATTTCAGTGGTGGATAATAAGGACTCACCATGTCGCCAAGAGTTAGCGATACCCATCCTTGAGAGAGAAAAGTGGTCACCTTTACTCACACCTAAGTGACCTAACCGGCTATCCTAGCACACTGTCCATCCAAACTCCGGACAAGAACAGCGGCAAGCCCAAGACACAAGTCATCCACAGGAGTGCCATAAAACCTACTCCACACACCCGGTCATCTAGGAATGTGGGTTGCAGTCTTGTAGACAATCACCACCACCAACACCACTTTTCCACCCAGATGTGTAGATCCAAAAGCCAAACAGCCTTACCGTGTCGACCTTTTTATTTATTTTTTATTTATTTATTTTTAATTTTTTTTTTTTTTTTATTCCAGATTGTAGTAGAGGCTGGATGCCAGGCCTTGGGAGGTGCCTGTCGTTGTACTCGACGAGTGGGGAGATCAGATGGCTTGTGACAGGCTGACAGCCCATCTTACCATGTATTTTTTATTTATTTATTATTATATTTTTTGACCACGCGATATTCTAGAAAGGGAATGTAAGTTCTTTGTTGAAATGGCGATTTTCATTACAGTTTTCTAAATGATGCAAGGTCCACCACATCTGTGTAATTGAGCATCGGCTGAATACACACCCGTTCTCCTTTCAGCGCATCGGTACCTTATATTTTGTCTGTTCTCTAAGTTGCAATCAGACTAGACTTATTCACACTTTTCATGCACGTGAACAGCAGAACAACAAACTGGCAACATGCACCCACACAGAATTCAGAGATATGGCTTCCAGGCAACAGTTCGCTTCCTCTGGCTATGGCGACTGAGCGCCTCAAACAACTCACTGTTCACACCCTGGATCACCCTGGATATCCCACACGCGATACTCAGCACACACACGCAGTACACACACACTTCCCCTAAGCTACAGCTATGGCGGCTATGGCCGTCGCTACCCTACTGCTATGGCTACGGTATGTTACTCTCGCCCACTTCGTCTTCGGGCCCTCTGCAGACCTCCTCGCACAAGCTGCTGAGGCAGCGCTTCCGCATGGCTTCCGCAGGAATGAATGAATGGCTGGGCGCAGCCTCTTGATTTATACTTCTGTGCTGCGTTGGTCTGCCCTGTACCCCTGGCCCATCGTGCACACAGTCCCAGACGGTACTTGCTGGACTGGACCGAACTGGGTGGACTGGGACTGCTGACTGTACTAGGTGGACTACCACCACTTGACCACTTGCCTCTGCTGAACGCAGACTCACTCCGAAAGGCCACTTCTAGAAACCTCTAACTTGGCCTTTCGGTACTGTAGCAGCTACAACCTTGCCCTTTCAGGTAAGTAGCAGCTACGACCTTGACCCTTCAGGCAGTCTACAGCTACGACCTCTAACTGTCTAGACTCCTACCCTACAGGTCTACAGTTCGAATACCTTCTACCCTGTGACCTACGGAAAACTACCTACCACTGGCGGTACTACAGGTAGCAGGTTCAAATCTACGGGTTGACGCCGGTACTGTACACAGGTAAGGTGGGGAACTAAGGATCGAGCCCTGGGATCTGCATAAGCTACTGCGAACTGGTGAATACCGTTTCAAAGTGATGCTGCTCATACGTATGCATTTACTAGTTCTGCACGGGGAAAGAAGGGAGGGAGGGGCGACGGAGGAAAAAGCAGGGGAAAGCCAGGCCAGGGATGTGTGTTGTGCATCCTCACCACAACAACACCTTTTCCACCCATATGAGTCGGTCAAAAATAGAAGCAGTTTTTACCTTTATAGCAGAGTCAAGCAGACAATGAAGCACACTGAAGCACACTAAAGATGAGCAGATCCAGATCCAACAACGAAACAGTTTTGTCTCTTTAGTACAACATGAAGCACAATAAATCCTTCATATATTGCCTTTTCCTTTTACAGTCCTTTCTATCTTTACTTTGGCTTCCTTTGGGGTATCCCTTTTATTCCTTCTTGCAGCTCCTCCCCCCTTTTACTGTGCCTCTAACTGGGGTATCCCTTTTATTCCTTCTTGCAGCTCCTCCCCCCTTTTACTGTGCCTCTAACGTACAAGGCCTGCCACGTTGATTGCGGCTTGACGCAAGCTGACCACCACGCCCCCATGTACCATAACGGCCCACTTGCAGGCTACGAAAGGAGGCAGAGTAAAGGGGGAGGTATACTCCTGTTCATTTTCCTTTGCCTCTTCTCTTTATGATGATCATTCATATGCATTTACTACGAGTAATGCACAAGAGGAGGGAGGAAGGAAACGGGTGGGGGCGGAGTTCTATAGGAAGCGACGGGTGGCGAAGGGGTAAGGGGACGAGGAGGGAGGGAAGTGCAGGACAAGGAACGGAATTCGATAAGAGGAAAGACAAACTTCACAGGCCAATGGCTCGAGGAAGTGATATGAGCATCTTGTTTTTTTTTTGTTTTTTTTTTTTAATACCAGCGTCGATCTACTGGAGGAAGTGATATGAGCGCCTTCCTATATTGGAGATCACCACCACCGGTTGCTCCAGTCTACTGGTGGCTGATGTCAACCATTCGGCCAATCAAGAAGAAACCAACCTTTGCGATTTCATCTTTAGGACCATCGCTCTCATCCCAGCGGCCAGCTTCTTCCTCCTCCTCTAAGGCAATCATAAGTATGTCGAATAGCCGTGCCGGAGATGAAAGACGCATCGACTGAAACTGGGCAAATCTTCGGAATACCTGCTGGTATACTAGTTCCTTGCTGCCACAACATCAAGCAAAGTACAGACAGAACAAGTCCACCAATGCCAAACAAGAGAAAAGGATCACGATATCGGCAGATATCAGCAATCCATGAGCAATCTGCAATAAATCGCAGTTTCCCAGTGGGGCTGTACACTAATTGTTTGCCTTTGTAGTTTGTTTTCTTGTTTTGAGCCTGCGGGACTTGATCCCGTGACCTGTAATTTGTATGTGTTTTGTTTGTGAGTGTTGAGCCCTATGGGACTTTATCCCTGAGTCTATCACTAGTAGTCTCTGTTTGGTAGCCTTAGGCCATTCGGCCTTTTCCTTTTGCCTTGTCATAGGTCTGGGTCCTCTTTTCCCCCTATTTCCCTGAGTCTATCACTAGTAGCCTCTGTTTGGTAGCCTTAGGCCATTCGGCCTTTTCCTTCTGCCTTGTCATAGGTCTAGGTCCCCTTTTCCCCCTATCTCCATCTAGATGCAGATGAGTATTCAGTTGTTGCCTTTAGAGTCCGTTGTAGGTCTAGCCAGAGGGAAGAAGTAGCGGACAGGAAATTTGGTTTGGGTCTTTTCATGTTTTCGTTGGCTGGGGAAACTCTGCCCGTCCGTTGTTGGAGTGCTGCCGCTCTATTTTGGGCGAGGTCATCTTCTTCCTCGAAGCCCAGCCATAGCTGGGGTTGTGAAACGAAGTTGAAGATCGCACTGCTGCTATTTCGCAGCTCTGCATGAGAGCTTCCACAGGACTGTGTTGTTGGGTTTGGGTGCTGCCATCTTCCACTTGGCAGCCATATCTGCTGTTCCTCCCCTCGAGGAACTTTGTCTTCTTCGAAGTGCTGGATCGATTGTCTCCTTCTTCATCAGGACTTCAAGCGCTGCACTTCCATGCGGGTGCTGAGATGGCGCTGGTATCATTAGGGTTGCTTGTTCAGATTGGCACGTTGTGACAGCTGTGGGGTTACTGCTGCTATGGCAGCCATAGCCAGGGAGGGGTATGAGGTGGCGAGGAAGAAGAAGAAGACTCCTGCATACTTCGGTGAACACTTCCTTAAAGTTCTTTTTGGTTGTTTGGGGTTGTTGTAAACGAAGTTGTGATTCTTGGAACAAGTACTCTGGATTGATTGAAGAAGGACGAGGGATTGCAGAATTGAAATGCTGACAGTTGTGGGAAGGCTCTGTTGTGAGCCTGATCAGAAAAGAAAAGTTTGTGTTTCTGATTTGGTTGTGGGCTTAGTTAAAGTAATTCGTTGAATGTTTTGGCCATTGGGCTGAGCCCATAACCTCTCATACTGTCTCTTGACATTTGGCACTAGCCTGCCATACTCCCCATACCACTAAACAGCACAGTTTAACTCTAATCATCTGGGTTCTCAGTGTGAACGGTAATCTGAGTATTCCACTTTTATTTTATTTGTTTTTCCTAACAACTGTTTAAAAAAAAATAAAAATAAAAAAATTCCTGTGGGAAGATATTCGCTGGTCGAGGTTGGGTCCATGTGCAATTGAAGTTCAATCAGGTACATAACAAATCTCTAGATTACTACCGTCTTGCCCTGAACAGAACGTATGGTCATTATTGCTGCATCTGGTCTGGAAGTTGCCCAAAATACAGGCATAATCACCATACGACGCATACGTTCCATTTGGGAAAAGACAGTAGGTTTTGATAAAATAGACAGTGCTCAGAATTGACCGGTTATGGTTCATTGAAGCAGCTTGATTGTATCGTTTCTTCCCATTCCTTATTAGAACAAGAGGCAGGCTACGACAACAGTCAGGCCGAGGAGCACCAGAACAGCGCAACTGAAGCAGGATAGAAGTAGCCTGAGGAGGAGATAGAGAGAGAGCGAAGAGAACCGTGCACATGACTCGGAGACAGAAACCAAAAAAAGACAACATGAAGTATACGATCCACCAAATTCTGCACAAAGTCACATCCACAGATAAAAAGAGTGTTGTGCATATAAAGAGAAACTACAAAATTTCAACAATCTCCATATCCGTTGCTCGTCTCCCCTCCTACCTTCTTCCCCCGAATACAACGTACGTCGTACGGTCATTATAGCTGTCTTTGGGGTATGTTTCAATCTAAATACAGCCATCTTTCAGTCTAAATACAGCTATAATGACCGTAAGTTCTATTCGGGGGAAGAAGGTAGCTCCCCAGGTCTACTCCCAAACTTGCTCCCATACACTATAGCTGTATTTGGGGTATCTTTCAGTCTAAATACAGTTATAATGACCGTTCGAACTCCGCGGCGCGCACATCTCCTCACAGTTCGAACAGCAACGTAGCTTCCCTCAACGCGTTCCATCCGTCCGATGCACCGACTCTCCAGGAGGGTGGGGATCCAGACAGGCCACATGGCCAGAATGATCCAGACTATACCGCAGACGAGATGGGAAACTATTTTCACAAAATGAAAACCAACACATCGCTCTAGCATTTGGAGTATTCGACTTCTTGAACAAGTTCCTTGAGGCTGCAACACCTGCAGTAGGGGCCACATGGCAGGGAAGAAGAGCAGTTTGGGAGGAAAAGAGAGAATGGAAGCGGAAGCAGAGAGCAGCAGAAGGTGACAAGGCTCCACCATATTTTCGACCCTTTTCAATCCTCTCCTGAATCAGAGCTTGATTCCATTATTAGAAAGAAGAAATGAGTCGAGCTATATACACGTGCAAGTTGGAAGGAGGTGGGTGCAGCACACCTCAAGGCAACGATATTCGCAAGGTATAGCTTTGTCTTGTGTTGAAGAAGCACAAAAATGTCATCTGCTATTCCCACATACGAATTGTGCTTGACGATTTCTGACAAACCTGCAGCAAAGCCAAAACAGGAAGAACACGAGAACAGCTGAACAATGTGTTGAATCCACTTTTTCAAACTGGTCGTTCTCCTCCAGACTTAGGTATTCATGTCGGCCCTTTTTGAGGGGGTATGTGAAAGTTGCAAAGCGTAACAGAAAAGAAGAGTCTGTAAGTTTGCAAACCGTAACAGGAAAAAAAGAGTCCGTAAAATTTTCGTCAATCAGAAGGAGCCAACTGACTTTCTGAGTTAAAAACTAACCTGATTTCTGAGTTAAAAACTAACCTGAATGGTAACCCAGACTCTCTAGGTTAGAAACTACCATCTTCGCCCGAAAAGAACGCCCGGTCATTATAGCTGTGTTTCTGGACTGAAAATTGCACCAAAAACAGGTATAATGACCGGGCATTCTGTTCAGGCGAAGACGTGTAGAAAACTCGGGGCTTCCAAGTTAGAACTTTCAAAACTGCATAAATCTCAAGCACTGCCGTTGCACTTAACGCACGTAATAGAGTGGGAACACTGGCAATGAGTAACACCTGCCACAACAGCACTTGCACCTGTCTACGAGGAGAGACAGACGAGAGTCAGGAGTGTACACCAGAGGGCGAGGAGAGAACCAAACGAGAACGGCTAAGGACACTCAACGTCTCAAAGACTGGCGAGAGACCAACAGACGATGCAAAAAGAAGGGTGAACTGGATGGATACGGATAAGACAGAACCAGTGTTCTACCCCCCAGCCGTGTGGCTGACTGGCACACACATGCGACTGCTGATAAACAGGTCACCAGTTCAAATCCTGACCGACACGACAACATTAAGGGCTAACCCCCTCCTCAGTAGGGGGGGGGGGGGGGGAAAGGCAAAACGACAGTCCCAGGCTCATTGCTGAATGAAGGGTTGACATATATAGCCGTTAATAAACTGATCATAAAGTCAAATTCTGATGGATACGACAATGTTCGGGTCCTTCAGGACAAATTCCTTTTTGGGAAAAAGGGAAGGGGGAAACAAAGACACACAGGGGCCTCAGGAAGCACGACCATGTGCCGCCATCTGCAGGCAGATTGGGTGCCGCAGACACGTCCCGATCTGCAGGACCGCCACATCTAACTGTATGAGGCGCTATCTACCAGCACACCCTGACCAGTACCAGCACACCCTCACCGTGGCCTTTGCCGAACCGATCTCGGCACCCAATCGCCACATGGACTCCATCACATCCCACTGCTCGCTATCTCACCCGTCTTTTCTCTCCCAAGGAAGTTATGCAAAATAGACTCCGTTTTCATTATGAAAATGWGTTACGTCAAGATTTGTTATTAAAACTTCATTATACAACAGCCTGGCGGCTGCCTCGATTATGTAAAATCATAGTAGTTCCTTTCGGTTTCGGAAAAAATGGAATGGTAGCGGCTTCGCTCCTTTGTGGTCAAAACGCGATGATACTCACCATCTCTTCGCTCCCAAGGAAGCTAAGCGATGATACTCTGGGCCAACCGGCACTACCCCTTGGCCACCGAAACCCGACTTCTCTATCCGTACAACCTCTTCTGCAGTCGTCAGGAGTCGGGTGGGAAATGATGTGAAAGTTCGAAGTTACAGAAAGAACTCAGAAAGGATGGATTGGTAAATTTGGTATAGAGGCCGGACGGAATGAAGCTCAGGAAAGTAGTATGGAGATCAAGGTAAACAACACAATTGCCTCGATCGCTTACAAGTTCCAACCTTTTAGGTTTGTATTACTTTGTAAAACGTTTTATGAACCAACATGGCAAACAATCTTCTTTCTTTGTTTGCAATATTGCTTCCATGATAGTAGGAGCATTAACCGCAAATGGCTCTAAACAAAGTCACAAAACTTTTAGCGTATCGTTCTATTGCCCGTGTACTGGCATGTACTATGTAGGTTACCTTTTACTCGGTTTTTCATGCGCAACTATCAAAGCCTCAAAGGTCTTCATCGCACACACAATTCCCCAGTTAAATTGCTTGCTGAGTGTCAGATAGATGAGAATCTGATTGCTGGCCTCAGCATGGACAGGATGTTGCAAAAGAAGTTCGACAAAAGCAACCAGTGTTTTTTTTTAAAAAGAGTCCTTCGGGACATCCGTTAAAATTGGAACGATACAGAGAAGGGTAATTACTAGTTAGCAACCAGGTTTAACTCTGCACACATGCTGGCATCCTTTCTCCCCCAACTTAACCTGGGTTAAGCGGCCATCATTTTTTGTCCTCCAATTTAACAGTGCATCTATATTGCTTGGAGTCAACAAACTTGGCATGTTTCACTGCTTCTCAAAAAAAGGTCTATGACCGGGAACAAGAAATTTGCATAGCCACCACACAGGAGGGGCAATACACAGCCCGAGGTAGCTAGTATGAGGGGGGGAAATAATGAGAGAAGAAAATAGCAGAGCAAGTCCAGCTGTCCCCCATATGAGGAGAAGGCAGCGTGCATTAAAAAAAAAAAAAAAAAAGCTGCCACATACACAAACCTTGATGAACTTGCTGATTCATGTCTGCCAGAACTTCTTGCACGCTAGTCAGGTCCACACCTTCCGACGGATTCTTCCTCTGACGAATCGCACGCCTATTCCATTCCATTATAAAGAAACGAAAGGAGGGACATTTCCGCTTTTTCTGAGCAACCAGCAGCAACCATCATCCTAACCGCAAAACACATCCGCATTTCTATATATATAGTCAAACAGAGCTGCCCGGTAAACCGTAGGCAGAGAGGGAGAAGAGGACAACAAACGAGGGGCTGTATATATATCGTCACAAACAGAACTGCCCGGTAAACCGTAGGCAGAGAGAGAGAAGAGGACAACAAACGAGGGGCTATATATATATATATATATCGTCACAAACAGAACTGCCCGGTAAAACTGTAGGCAGAGAGAGAGAAGAAGACAACAAACGAGGGGCTGTGCCAAACTGTTTCGTCGGAGTTTCACCGACTCATCAGGAGGCTGAACCCTCAACAGTCTGCAGAATCCCCTCACTGATTACACTGTAAATGATAATCTACCTTAACCAAAATCAAAGTAG